TACAAATAATGGTCAAGATGAAGGCCATTTTCAGATTTACTTTGTGTGCTGCTTATTGCTTTTGCCTTTGGGTATTATTCTTGGGTGAATGATATTTAATACAGAGTATGTAATGGGCTGTCTTTGTATTCTGAGGTCTTGCATCAATGGAGAGATGCATTCATTAAGTTGTGATCGTGTTTCCCCTTATACAGGGGTGGCCCAACCTTTCGGCTGCTGAGGGCTGGACGCTTCATTTGAGAAACGTGCACGTGCATAAGCAATATTTTTGTGTTTCCCTTCCAGAAACATAACATAAGATTTTTGGAGGGAGGGAGTGGGCCAGATGAAATGGAGAGTGGTTTGGGGGGGTGAATGGATGAAATCGGTCCAGTTTATCATGTCTTCGAGACGTCTCAAAGTGCTTCACCGAATATACTGTGAAGTGAATTGACTGAATATTTTGTAGGCAAATCGTGGCAGCCAATTACGCACAGCAGTGTCCCGCAAACAGTCGTGGGTTGAGTCATCAAATTACTATTATTTTTTTGGAAGAGATTATTACCCCCAGAGAAGCATTCCACCAATTGACTAACAACCGTCTTCCTACTTACTACTAGGTAAACAAAAGTTTTTGCTGTAGAGTAAGGAAACTTGCCCAACGTTTCGCCTTGCGGGAATCAAACCCAGGTCTCGCGCTTGCGAGGCGAGTGCTCTAACCACTGAGCTACAGGACTTCACACTATCATTACCACACTACCAAAAGATGTGCCCGAAACAGTCAGTAGTTTAAGACACTGACTGGTCCATTGGATTCACATGCCTCCCTTGAAACCATCACAATGGTTAGTCCCGGAGCTGTCTCATGGTGCACGTTGGATTTGCTAAGGCCTTGTTTCACAGCATTACCGGATTCACCTGGGATCTTGTGCCCTCCACTCACCATTGTAAATACTGCTTTACTCAGTGGAACATTATAATTGATAATGAGCCAAGTGAGTATTGTGTCTTTGTTCGGCTTGAGAGGAGACCTTGAAATTATTAATAATAATAATCCTTGCATTTGATACAGGGCCTTATATATGAATGCAAGTTTGTTTGTTTTTCTGTATCGTGAGTGGCACCAACTGAGCCAGGCTGACACTTTTAGTGAACTCAGGAATGTGCAGTGAGATTGTTGAACTTGCTTTTAGAATAATGTGTCTACAAATTTTGAACGTCATTTGATAATGTTTGTTGTGGTTCTTGGAGGAAGGAATTTGGTGGTTTATATTTCTGTACACAGAATGTCAGTATTGTCATTACTATTGAAAGGCGTATTCCTTGTTTTTAATCTTGCAGTTCCCACATGGTAATATTAAACAGCCTTATGGTACTGCTTTTCAGGGAGAGCTGAAAGATACATAGGTAAATTTACAGGATGGGTCACCTGGTCGGCTTTTGGAGGGCACTATAATAATAATAATAATAATCCTTGTATTTGATATAGCGCTTTATCATGTCTTCTAGATGTCTCAAAGCGCTTCACAGAATATACTGTAAAGTGACTTGACTGTATATTTGCAGGAAAACACGGCAGCCAATGGCACACAGCAGTGTCCCCATAAACAGTTGTGGATTCAGTGACCAAATTATTATTATTTTTCTTAAGGGATTATTGCCCCCGGAAAAGCAATCCGCCAATCGACTAACAACTGGGTTCTGACTTTCTGCTAGGTAAAAAGCTAAGTCAGGAATAAGGAAACTTGCCTAACATTTTGCCCTGCCTGAGAATTGAACCCAGGTCCTCTTGCTTGCGAGGCGAGAGCTCAAACAACTGAGCTTATAGGACTCCAGCAATTTTGCCAGGTTACTGAAGTGCAGTGGCAGGTGCTCATCTTGTCAGGCAACCTGCTTATTACAGCAGCTTAGTTCAGTTGGTGGCACTTCCACCTCTGGGTAGGTTCAAGCTGCACGTCAGGATTTGAGCTGTGACATTTTAGTACAGAAATGAAGGAGTGACCATGCTTTAAATGAGGTGTTTACATGATGTTCTGTCAACCTATTTTGATGTTTGAGATGTACGTTTAGGATTCCTGGACACTTTTTCCAAAGTGCAGAGTGCTTTCCCGGTGACTGGGCCGCTAATCGTTTTTTTCCTTATTCATATTCATCAAAAAATAGATTTATTGTTCGTTGTGGGATGTTTCTGGCACATTTGTCTTATGACAGCTGCTGCACTTCAAATAGTTGCTCACAAAACGCTTTTCAGTTAATAATCATCATGCTGGCATTGATATAGCATCTCTTTTCATTGTTGAAACGTCTCAAAGTGTTTCACAGGATTTACTGTAAAGTGTAGTGACTGTATATTTGTAGTTGAATGCGGCAGCCAATTTGCCCACACCTATTGGAATATCAGCCTAAAGTCCCAACATGAGGCTTCAACCTCAAGCCTCTGACACAGAGTTAAGAGTGCTTCCAACTGAGCCAGGCTGATACCTTTGACGTGACAAGATATAGTTAAAAACAAGCTCAGCCTTTTTTTTAGAAATTAGCCTTAGAAATTAATCATTTGCATCTTGGCCTTCTGTGGGATATCACCGTGGGCAAATTGGGCTGCCCACCTACAACATATACTGTCACACTTTACAGCAATTACCAGGAAGACGTTCTCAATGTAACACAATCCTATATCAAACGCAAGGGTTACTATTGTTATGATAAAGAGGACATGAAATTAAGAGTCGTTAATGGGAATTGTGGATGTGGTTGACAATTTGCATAGTCAAACGCAGTTTTTATATTTTGTTCCAACCACCAATGTTTATTCAGTTTCTCTCTCTTTGTTGACTCCTGATGTCATTTGATTCTTCTCCCCTCCCCACAGTGGTTTCGGGATGCTACCCTGTGTGAAGGGCGCTATATAAATGCAAGTTGTTGTTGTTTCACTGATGCAGTTACTCAACCCAAGTGATAATTCATGAACCCAAACAATACAAGGATTATTATTATTATTAATGGGTTGATCACACGCCAATTGCTAAACATTTCATTCCTGGAGCTTGTATACTATGGGACAATTATGATTGTAAGAAAAATATATCTAGGGCCCCACAAACAAGGCTCCTGGCATGGACCAGCGAACTTACCATGGCTGCAAAATGGCTGATTTCTAAGTTGTCACTGATAATAATAATATAATAACAATCCTTGCATTTGATATAGCGCTTTTCACGTCTTCTAGAGTCCCAAAGCGCTTCACAGAATATACTGTAAAGTGAATTGACTGTATATTTGTGGGCGAACGCGGCAGCCAATTGCGCACAGCAGTGTCTCACGAACAGTCATAGATTGAAAATGACCAATTTATTATTGTTTTTTGTTTTGGAGGGATTATTATTAGGCGTGTGGAGTAAGGAAACTTGCTCAAGGTTTAGCCGATTCGATAACAACTTTTAAGGGCTATGGAGAGAGAGCAGGGGAGTGGGATTGAATTGGATAGCTCTTTTCAAGGAACCGGCACAGACACGATGGGCTGAATGATCTCCTTCTGTGCTATATAATTTTGTGATTCTATGTCATTTCCTGCACACTATGCATACATAATATGCGCAAGAAACACTGCTGACGTTACTTCACATGGAAAGTGCCATCATAGGAGATCTAATGTCCTAAACGTCACTTATATTTTTAACACTAGAAGCTGGCACTGTGTGCACAGTATGCAGGAAGTGAGATCAACCTATGACCCTGATGTTGGACATTATTCCACGTTTCATCCTGATTCTGCTGACAGAGTTATAAGGGGGTTGTCCTGTATTTTTGGTATGTTAGATCACAGGTCATTTCAGTTATGGAGCAAGGGTTGGGGAGGACTGGGAGGTCACCATCAAACCACGCTTCTCATGTGGTCACTAGGTGACAATGAGGAGCAGCAGCTATAGCTGATTTCTCCCCTCCATCACTCAGGGACGCTGAAGCCAATTCGCCACTGAATGTCGAACAAAATTGGGTTCTTTTGGCCACTGGGACCTGGAGCTCTGTGCGGGAAAGAGTGGGTGAGGCACAATTTGTTGCTGCGCCAACAGGTTGAGATGTCAAGCAAAGCAGCAACTCTGCAGCTTTCCAGCAGCTGAGTGAGTGAATGCGTGCGTGAGTGATTCACGATACAACTGGCAATAACAATGAATGTGCATTTCCCCTTACTGATACTTTGGTGTTAAGTGTATCTAAAAGTCAACTCTAAAGGAGTACAATGCTGTGGGGGATGGGATTTGCAGTGGTGGAGGATTATGTGGATTATAAACTGGCGCGGACTAGTTGTTTGGGAGCTGCATAGCTGTAATTCTATATGTAATTCTTGATCCCTTACTGTCCAGCACCCTGACATGAAAGGTCATGTAATTTACCAATGTAATTTATTGTTTTGTTGTTGATTCTCCTTCTGACTAAAGGAATCCATCTTGATCTCTGTATGAACACTTTGTCAATCTCCACGAATTCCATGCTCTTTAGGTTTACAACGCAGCCTAAACCTCTGCAACGTGCATTGTTTTCTGAATTTCCCTGTTGCTAAAGAATACCTTTGCATCAGTAATGTGCCAGCCAATCCACGGTACACAGGTTCACGCCCGGCAGCAAAACTGTCACTTTATCGCCCTCCCATAGCCACACCTTTCACTACATCTGTGTACTCTCCTGCAGCAGTTTAACAGCACCAGTTGGTAACTCAAACCCGAGCCTTGGACGAGCTCGAAAAAAACACGAGGCATCTCTGGGTTATTGATATGAATGGGATGACACCAGAATCATTGAGTTAATTGTTGCCTTGCACCTACATTTCCTTAGCGTACACCTTGTTCTTTATAAGACTTTCCACTGCAACTTAAACGTCCTAAACTTGGTGCATTTTGCCGAGTTAGATGGCCTCCCGGAGTCCTGAACAATGCAAATGCTGTCGAACTGGCACTGACGTTCACAATGAACTCTTGGGGGAAGTGTCCAGCAGTGTCTTTCACTTTACTCTTGTTTCCCCGCAGATTGCCTCCAATCTACAGAGGAGGAGAACCGTATAGCAAACGGACCCTTTGCCGAGCTTGAAAACGTGGTTGATGGGGTCCAAGAGGAGAACTCGTTCCAGTTGGTGGCTGCAGTGCAAAGGTTGGAGATCACTGCAGGGGAGGCTGTAACTGAGTTGTCGCCAAAGGAAACGCAATGCAAGTGGAAATGCAGTAGCACGTCTCAGGCCACATCAGCAATTGTGGACAATAAGGAAAGTATGGTATTTTTGACAGAGACTGACACGAGACAGTCAATGAGTGACTTAGAAGGCTCCTCAGAGGAAGAAAGTAAAACAGTTCCACGCGTGACCAATTCAGGTCTACAAACTTATGCTGAAATATTTGTCAATACAACAGTCAATGAAACGGCCAACATGTTCTCAGCTCTAAAGAGCCACCAGGCTGAGACTTTGTCGCCGGACAAAGAAACGACTCCTAACGAAACCGCCACACCTCTGGAGAATAACCTCCTAAAGGTAACAGCAAACAGAGTGGGAGGGGAGCAGCTAGCCGCCGGCGACAAAGAGATAGTCGAGAGTGTCCGTCAGTCACCGGAGTTGGTGACTAAATTCGTAGCAGTCGTGGTTGCGGAAGAAGGCTGTTGCCAGATGCTGCTGGAGTCTCCTCAGAACGACAGCCACGTGGATGGAGCAAAAAAGGTACTACCAGAGGATGCTCGGACAGATGACCATGTGGAGCATGTGAAGGAAGGCTGGAAAGGGAGGGAAGGTGGAATTTCTTTGTCCGAGGCGCTGGTTAAAGACAATGAAATGTCATCTTTCCCAGTGCCTCGACTCAGGGAAATGGTGGAGCAGAATCCAGAGGTAAACACCGTGAGCAAGAGAGACACTGGGCTCGAACTGCATCTCAAGGCTGAGGAGGATGCAAAGGCAAACGGTGAAGGCGCGAAGGTGCCTCTAAGTAACGTTTCGTCAGAAAACAGGAGTACTGACGAGGACGTGTTTGTGAGTGCAAGAGAAAGCGAACAGAGTATGGAGGGTGGACCATCCACAGGAGGAAAAGCAAAGTAATTCTATTGAGATTTTATCTTTTCCAATCGATTGTATTGCTCTTGAATGTAACTCAACGGCCATCTGCAGTGAATTAAAAGAGGTTTAAAAGTGCATGATGGTAAAACAAAAAAGGAGGCATAAAACGCCTTTCGATTTTGCACCTTGGAATGAATTGAGTTGACCTTTCCAATGTGCTGACAGAATCGGTTCAGGAAGTGTCGCCGAGCATATTGTGCAATGTGGGCCCAGGTTTATATAATACAGTAAAAGTCTGATCTGTTTAAATCGTATAATCCCCTAAATCGTACATCTGCCCATGTCCTGCTTGGGAATTTATATTCTACACAAGTTTGACATAACTCATACAACTTATGTGAGGTTCATTGTATTTCTGATCCCCAATGGTGGGTGCACTCTTATGCTATGCTGCAAATTGTTGCACTGCTGTTGGTTCCCTATATTCCAACCCTCCTTGCTTCAAAAATAAATAATAATAATTTGGTCACTCAATCCACGACCGTTTGTGGGACACTGCTGTGTGCAATTGGCTGCCGCATTTCGCCGACAAATATACAGTCAATTCACTTTACATATATTCTGTGAAGCGCTTTGAGATGTCTCAAAGACATGATAAGGTGCTACATCAAATGCAAGGATTATTATTATTCTAGGGCTTTGGGATATTCTCCCAACGTGAAAAGCGCTAGGATAAGTTTCAATTGTATTCTGTTCATTGGAGTTGCAGAATCTGACATAACACAATGGGTCACATGGCCTCCTATGAGGCCATATGGTTTAATGGTCTCCTGGAAAACTAGTTTCTAAGATTAAGAATCAATTCAAGATTTTTCCAAACTGCATCTTATATGCAATTTTATAATAATCCTTGCATTTGATAAATAATAATTCTTGCGTATGATATAGCGCTTTATCACGTCTTCAAGACATCTCAAAATGCTTCTCAGAATATACTGTAAAGTTGAGTGACTGTGGGTTTTGTGAGTGAAACGCAGCAGCCAATTGTGCACAGCAGTGTACCACAAATAAGCTACAAAGATTGACCAAATTTTTATTTTTATTTTTTTATTGGAACGCATTATCGGAAAAGTGATCTGCTAATTCGAGTAACATTCGGGTTCCTACTTACTGCTAGGTAAACAGAGGCGTGTGTGTGGAATAAGGAAACTTTCCTAAGATTTCGCCCTGCCGGGAATCGAACCAAGTTCTCTCAATTGTGAGGCAGGTGCTACTGAACTCCACACTGTCAAAGAGATGCATTTTGCCACGTCACTCACTCTGTCCATAAAGTGCCTTAACATATTGTCGAGACGGCTCAAAGTTCTTCACATACTGTAAAATGGTTTTCACTGTATTTTGTGGAAATGTGGCAGCCAGTTGTGCACATCAATGTCTCACGGACACTTCATCCATGGAGTGATGGATCAATTTTTATGTGAGGGATTGTTGGCCAGGAGGAACTAAAAGGAACACCCTTCTCTTTTGGAATAGGTCTTGGGATCTCATAAATCCAGAATACTGATATAAATTCATCTTTGGGATGGATTCCCTTTGTATCTTCCAATCAATAGTGGAGTCCTGCAGCTCAGTGGTGAGAGAACTTGCCTCGCAAGCGAGAGACCTGGGTTTGATTCCCAGTAGGGTGAAACCTTCGGCAAGTTTCCTGATAATAATCCCTCGAGAGAAAAAAAAGCACAATAATAAATTGGTCACTTCAATCCACTGTTTGTGGGATTCTGCAGTGTGTAATTGACTGCAACGTTTCACCCACAAAATATACAGTAAATTCACTTTACAATATATTCTGTGAAGCGCTTTGAGACGTTTGGAAATGCAAGGATTATTATTATTATTATCTTTGTTGTCCACCTGAACAGGTAGATGGGACCTCAGTTTAAGGTCTCATCTGCGACAATAAAACCCCACCCCCAGCGCTAGATTGGAGTGTCAGCTTAGACTGTGTGATTCTAAGTCTTGAATTCACAGCCTTAGAGGCGAGAGTGCTACCATTGAGCCATTGGAAGCAGACATGCTGCACTTTATATGTAGAAATAGATTACATTTTGTTTTATGTACAGTGATAGGCAGGGAGGGTTGTGTATATATGGTGACATGAGCTGGTAATCTGTATGTATAGTCACAGAAGCTGGTGATGTGTATGTACATACAGTGATGGCAGTTGATGATCTGTATGCTCAGTATATCGTAATGGGGAATTACTTGTTTTCATATGTACTGTAAGAAAAATCCCATCATGTCATCTATTGTAGTAACAGACCAGCTTTTGATATGGTAGGTTTGTCAGCCGTGTGGTATTAATAATAATGGAAAATCACCATTTCACTCTGGATATAGAAGCTCAGAATACACATGTAACTAAAACCTTCATAGAGAATATGCCTTGTGTGTACTGTAATAAGAAATGTGGTCTTTAGAGAGTGTAAAGTAACAGGAAATAATGCTGTTCTGTCTGTATATAGCAGGAGAGTCGGACAAAGGTGCTTTGTACCTATAGTAACACAATCTGCAATTAATATTCAGAATATATGAGCTATTTAACACAAGGAGCAGGTTAAAAATCACTGGAATTTTGCTAAAATGTTATGAATGCAGCAGCTGGCATTAATAACATTGGATCTTAAACAGACAAGGTATGAGCTTAGAATCTGCAAACCACTCAGTGACATTATAGGATTTTTTACCCTGTCTGACAGATGCCCTCAACTTTCCAGCAAAAACCCATCCATGTCAGGCCTGCTATGTCCCTTGTGGAGCTGCTGCTGATTTCTGAGACATTTTGACTAGCATCTCTGATTGGAGTTATGTAACACTATATTCACTCCACTGGAGCACTTAGGATAGGCAGGTTGACTGAATGTTGGGGCTACACGTCTTTCACTCAATGGCCTGTCATCAGTTACTGTGGAGGTAGTCATTACTGTTCTGTCATGCTTCTGTTTCAGCCTCTCTTTTGCTTTATTTCCTTTGACCCTTCCTGAACCCTTTAATGGTTAGAGCACTTGCTTTGCAAGTGAGAGGATCTGGGTTTGATTCCCAGGCAGAGGGAAACGTTGGGCAACATTTAGCAGTTAGTAGGAACCCGGTTGTTAGCCGATTGGCCAATCGCTTTCCGGGGGTAATATTCCCTTCCAAAAATAAATGTATAATAATAGTTTGATCACTTAATCCACGCTGCTTGTGGGACACTGCTGGGTGCAACTGGCTGCCTCGTTTTGCTTATAAAATACAGTCAATCCACTTTACAGTATATCCTGTGAAGCGCTTTGAGACTTATCAAAGATGTGATAAGGCGCTATATTAAATGCAAGGATTATTATTCTTATTATAAAGCCAGTCCCTTCTCTAAAGCTCCTTCTCTTGCCAAGCCAGGTGTCCAAAATGATCGAGCTGTGGAAAATGGTGACTTTTCCAATGGATAGAAAGGTACCTCATCTTACATAAAACCATCCCGTTTCCAGATCTGCAGACAGACTTGTTTTGTCTTTGCTCCTCAGAGCAAGACTTCCCTTTATCTCAAAGTGCTCTGAAGAGATAGAAATTTGAAGGCAAGATTTGCTATTTGAGGGTAGAAGGTTAAATACTAAATTTAAACTACAGTATTATTTGTTCTGCACTGTTAGCTGGAACTGATTAGAAGGCTTAGGGGAAGAGGCAGTGTTCTGCAGTGAGTTGAACCATGCAATAGTTGCCAGTCTGGGATCAGCTTTGAACGCAGTTGACGAAAGGACCTTTTTTATTTTACAAAATTCAGAAGATCAGGCAGGTGTGTTATTACTAATAGTGTACAGTACCGGAGCTTGTTTGACAGTATGATGCTTGCAATCACACAGCGAGTGAATGCAGAAAAGGCAGAAGTGTGAGCTTGACTGTGTGTAGTGCATGTTGTCTACGTGATGCTGAGACTTGTTCAGCTTTAGTTTATTTTAATCCACATTAAGAATGGCTGTGAAATTGACCCGTGTGTGTCTACTATTGGTACAATTGGACGGTAAGACTGGACTATCCCGGTGCAGATTGTATGGACTCAGTTAAAAAGCAGTTCATAATAATACTAATAATCCTTCCATTTGATATGGCGCTTTTCACGTCTTCTAGATGTCTCAAAGCGCTTCACAGAATATACTGTAAAGTGAATTGACTGTATATGTCTGAGCGAAACGAGGCAGCCAGTTGTCCACAGCAGTGTCCCACAAACAGTTGTGAATTTAGTGACCACATTTTTTTTTAGGGATTATTATCCCCGGAAATGCGATCTGCCAATCGACTAACAACCGAGTTCCTATTTTACTGCTAGGTAAACAGAGGCGTGTGGAATAAGGAAACTTGCCCAACATTTTGCCCTGCCCGGGAATTGATGTTGTAATGGGGGTTACGGCAAGGGACAAGATCAGATGGGCCAAATGGCCTCGTTCACCCAAAACAATTTTGTAATATTGTGTGATGTGAGGTCACAGGGAGAGTCTGACACTGGAACTTTACTCCTAAGTCAGTCTCTAACCGACAATACAGACCCCGAAAATCCCACCAAGATAGTCAGGAAGACCATAGGCCACAAATTCAACCTGGATTCAGCCAGCAAACTGACGTATTGTGTTTAATTCAAGATCAAGTAAAATGATGGAAATCTCAGTGCTGTTGCATTGAGAACAACAGAAACAGGAGGAGGCCATTCAGCCCCTCGAGTCTGTTCCGCCATTCTATAGATCATGGCTGATCTGTGCCTCAAGTCCAATTACCCTTCCTTGCCCTGTATCCCTGAATACCCTGACCTAACAAATATCTACCCACCTCAGTTTTGAAGATGTGAATGGATCCAACATCCACAGCCTTTTGGAGGAGAGAGTTCCAGATTTCCACTACCCTTTGGGCGAAAAACCACCTCCAAATTTCACTCCTAAGTGGCCTAGCTCTAATTTTAAGCTAACAACGCCTTGTTCTGGATTCCCCCACCAGAGGAAATAGTTTCTCTGTATTTACCCTATCAAATCACTTTATTATTTTAAAAACCTCAATCAGATCACCCCTCAGCCTTGTAAACTCAACAATGCAGTGCGTAAGAATATTCCTTTATACCGTATTCCTAATGTTCATCTCAGGCTAATATAGCAATTATTGCACTGGATACAGTTATTTCTATTCTACTTGACTAGGGAATGTTAGCTGTGGAGGGAAGGGTTGAATATACTTGATTTCCCTGAGGGTTAAAAGTATTCCACCTACATGGTTACTGTATCTGAACAATACTTTGCCCCCGGAGGTGATTTTGTTTCCTTTTTCTCCATGCTGGTCCCTTCAGTCTTTAAGGCAGCACAGAATTGTACAGGATTCTAAAATTCACTCCCAATTGGGAAGCCGATTCTTTTTCCAAGAACTGCGGAAAATCAACTTGCATTTATACAGTGCTCTTCTGTAATTAAAATTGAGTTTTAACAGGTTGTTTGCAGAATTCTTAAATAATCTTGAATTGTTGGAACTATTCATTTAAGGCAAAAACTAGATTGAGACCCTTTCTGAAGTGTGTGTGTCCATATTCTACTACCTTGGTGCATTCCAAAGAATTGATCCAGCCTATCCCAGTGGTCCTAGCCTCCTAGGACGTCTTTCCAATGTGAAGGGTGCTATACAATTGTAGTTTGTTGTTGTTGTACACTTGCCTATCCACCGAGATTCAAAAGAAGAATGGCAATCCATCCCCAAGTTTCTATTGAGCGCTACATAACCTTTGAAATTATAGCTGGAGAAAGGATGTGGCCACCTGTAGGAGAGAGGACAACGGTGGGGGACGGGGTGAGGGGGGGGCGGGGTGGGGGGGAACGGGGATAGAAATGTGGGTGAGTCATTCAAAAAATCTGAATTGCAGATCTGCCAAATGTTAGTCAGTCAGTCAGCTGATATTTCCATTACACTGTAGGAGTGCAGGCAGTGTCTGACATTTCCTGACCAGAAAGCTTATAAGGATGCTCTGGGACTCTACCCTGCCTGACGGGGGCTATATAAATGCAAGTTGTTGTGTAATATCTCAGATAGCCTGATTGCTTAGGTTGTTATCACCCAGTAAGTGCTGTATGGAGAACGATGTGGATGAGATGAGTCATTCATGGTGTGCGAGGTGGGGGTGGGGGAGCTGCTGTTGGTAACAGTCCTTTACAAAGCACCCCCTACCCCCTTTTCCCAATTGATTAGATCTGCCCCGTGGTGTGGTTCTCAGAGATTCAGAACATCGGGTGACTGATTGGGTTAGCTGACATCCCAGAGGGGGAGTCACTACAATATCCTTCACAGTTACTGGTCTGGGAAGGAGAAACTTGAGCCAGGCTTCTCCTTGCTTCTGATCCCCATTGAGTGGTAGAAGCCGATTCAATAATAACTTTTAAGAGAGAAGTAGATAATTATTTGGGGAGGAAAAGTTTGCAGGGCTATGGGGAGAGAGCGGGGAAGAGGGATTGATTTTGAAAAGCTTTTTTCGAAGAGCTGGCACAGACATGGTGGGCCGAATGGCCTCCTTCTGTGCTGTATGATTCTATGAAGGCCTGCGATTGAAGAGGGGTAAATTCAAAACAAATCTAAGGAAACACTACTTCGGTGAGTGAATAGTAAACCTGCGGAACAGGCTCTCTAGGGAGACAGTTGAAGCAGGAAATGATGATTCTTTCAAACACAGATTAGATAGTTTTCTTTTAGGAAATAAGATGATGGGTGCATAGGTAGTTCACGACCACCAGGAAGGTGGGAGGCAAACTAGATTGGACCTTGGTCTTTTTTTCATTTAGCATTTCTTATGTTCTTATTTTCTGATGAATTAAGGCTGAATTTAAGAAATCCCACATTTCTGCGCAATCTTAATTTTTTAGATAAAATGGTCTGATGGGCGAAGACCGGGTGGAATTTGGGGTCTCTGGTGTTTGGTTGCCTTGTGTGAAGTTTCTCTGACCTGTTTTGGCCGTGATATCGATAGATTCAAGATTAAGGTGGATAGATTTGCTAGGAGCAGGAAATCAGGGTGTGTTTCAGTCGTTTAGCAGTGCTGTAGGATGGCTGCGACTTCGATGTGAAACCTCTTAAGGTCGTGAGATAGAAGTTTTTTGTTTCTTTGCTATGGATCTCTTAACTCCAGTGCCTTTGTCATGATATAAATGTTACTGATGTGAGTAAGTGTGGAGGGTTAGCAGAGAATAAGCAGGTGGTAATGTTCTGTCTAGACAGCAGCATTCAGATCCATAGAACCTTTGCTGTGACATCTAACGATGGGTGGACTGAGGGCGGGCCTTCAGCCTCTCTGCCCCCACCCTCTGGAACTCCATCCCACCGTCCCTCCTCCTCACCCCCCCTCCCTTGTCTCCTTCCAGACCCATCTCAAGACCCTCCTCTTCGACCAAGCCTTCTGTGGCCCTCCTACCCCTACACTCCCCGCCCTCCACCCCTCCTAATCCCAACCACCAGCTTGGATGTGGATTCCTCACTGTCCAGCACTTTGGGACATCCTCCTGACGTGAAAGATGCTATACAAGTGGAATGTGTTGTTGTTGAAGCTGTCGTGGACAAGGAATGTGTCACAAGTATTTGCTGCTGGCACAAATTGTTGGGTGTATTTGAAGGGCTGGCCATCTGTTTGGTCATCGTCGTAAGAATATGAGTCATTGACCTGCGCTTGTGCTTCCTGCTGGTATAAACCTGACCTTTGTTTCCTCAGTGCCCTGATGTCGGAGGCTAGAAATGACCCGGAGATTGAGGTGACGGACATCTTCAGCTCTCAGTTTGAGACTATTATGGAATCGCAGTTTCTGAAGGCCACGTGGTACAACAGCTTGGACTCCCTGGACATGATCTCCACGGACGAGAGTGAGAGTAGCTTCAGCTTTGAGATGCCCCTCACCCCTCTGATCCAGCAGCGCATCAAAGAGAGCAGCCAGTTCCTGGAGCGCGGCGGGATCCTGGAGGGCAGCGCCAGTGAAGTGCTGGAAACGAGTGGCTATTTGGAGAGGAGAGCAGAGGGCACTGTGAGCAGCAGCAAGTCGGACAGTGTGTTCCTCAAGTCTCCTGTAGCTGTGCTGAACGATTCGCCCGAGGACCTGGCGAGCCCCCGGGACCAGGCCAGAGGGAGCTCGGACTCGAGGTACCACTAGTCTTTCTTCCTCGTAGCTTAGGAGTGTTAAGGAATTAATTGCCTTGGTCAGTGCCTTCAAATCGCTGTTGGAAATGACCGTTATCATGAAACGCAAAGAAGCCACTTTATATTAAACTGATGCCATGGATCGCTTTGGTTGCTTTGTGCGTCTGCAAACAGAGGGCTAATACTTGTCCAGGGAGACGCTAATCCTTAAACTTGATCCTTTAGGTGATCCTTGCAATCTGTTTACCTGTTACAGCTTTACACATAGTGGGAGGGAGTAATAATAATAATAATCCTTGCATTTGATATAGCGCTTTTCACTTCGGGAGGACGTCCCAAAGCGCTTCACAGAACACACTGTAAAGTGAATTGACTGTATATTTGTGGGCGAACGCGGCAGCCAAATTGCGCACAGCAATGTCCCACAAACAGTCATAGATTGAAAATGACCAATTTATTATTGTTTTTGGTTTTGGAGGGATTATTATTAGGCGTGTGGAGTAAGGAAACTTGCCCAAGGTTTCGCCCTCTGCCTGGAATTGAACTCAGGTCTCTCACTTGCAAAGCGAGTGCTCTAACCACTGAGCTACAGGACTCCACGAGTAGTTGTCTTTTCACTCATCACTAGGGACATCACACAACAATGAGCTAGAGTCAGGAAGACAGTAACACGACAGGTCAGGCAATATTGAGGTCAATCGTCCACAATTGGCTTTGTGCTTCCACCACTGTCAAGCGCTCTGGGACGCTACCTTGCGTGAGGAGCGCTGTATAAATGCAAGTTGTTGTTTGTGATATATTGTGGTGATTTCAGTGAAAGCAATTCCCAGCACCCCCTCCCCTGGCGATATTGGGGTCTATCCGCCACAGTTGGCTAAAAGTACTGAAAAATCTTTTTATTGTTTCTTTATGTTGAGATTTCACCTGATAAAGACATAGCATAAAGGTTACCATGTCCAGTGATGAGCCTAAAATAAACCTGGTACCTAACTGGGGTGATGCAAACATGCTTGACGATAACAAACTTGCAACATAGGATGTGATGTGTGTGTCATGGATGGATGACAAGTAACGTGCCATAGGACACCAAGGCATGTCGTGGCTGACAACTAACACACAATACAGCACAAAGTATATGTCGCAAATAACACACTAACAACACAAAACAAGGTGGTGTCACATATATGAATGGCGCACAGCAGAGGATAAGGTGTGTGCTATTGCAACGCGATTCCGTAAAGCTTCGCCAGGCATTGCCATTTTGCACCTCACAGAGTAAGATTTGCACCAAACATGCACGTCAAACACGGTTGATGGTTCCAGAAATAAGAGCGACGTTACCGTTGCTATACTTGGCAATCAGGATGCTACTGTTCAGATCACAAACAGTGTTGTGGGACAGCATGCCAGTGATTATGACAGAACAATGTTTTCCCCTCTCCTGACCCATTAAACGTTTGGGTTCTTGTTTATAACAGAATTTGCCCTGTATGATCAGGTTTCCCACTGTAAAGGGTCAAACGGTATTTGCCCACCTTCTCCCCTTTGTCTTGTCTCACTTATGGTGGAACGCACTTGCTGACAGAGGGTAGTGGGAGGTTTGAAAGCATTGTGTGGGTGGGGCTGTGTGGCTCTTGGAGGAATATGCGGAGGAGGTATTCAGGGCAATGCACTGAAAGCTGAATCTTATGTATGTATGATATTGGGCAGTGATCTGCAGGCAGCTACATCAGACCCATTGGAAGTGATCGATTTGTTCACAAGGAGTCGTTATGAATGTCAGTGACTTTGCTCGGCAGCCTGTTGTTTTAAAATAGGTCCACCCATTGCGTTACATGTTTGATGGTCCTCCTCATCTTCTGGTATCTTGGAGGGATGAGGGACAAGAGGGATATTTATTTGTATACCAATGTTTTTATTTGATAAGACCAATGTATCCTCCTCTTAATTCCTATATCTTTCCCCTTTCCTCAAAGACACACACATATGTTCACATACACCATACAGAACGACGTGTTCACACACAAGAGTATAACACGACTCGATCACGTATACATACCCACCCACCACACACACACGCACACAAACTAAGATACAGTATAATTCGAAACAGAGTTCATGCCTATGATCAGCCGCCAGTGCTCAAGTAATACTGTAACTGACCTCTGGGAGGTTGTGGTTGTGCACATGTGCTCGACGTTGCCTATTGGAGTCCTGTAGCTCAGTGGTTAGAGCGCTCGCCTCGCAAACGAGAGACATGGTTTCGATTTCCAGACAGGCCGAAACGTTAGGCAAGTTTCCTTACTCCACACACCTCTGTTTGCCTAGCGGTAGTAGGAACTCAGTTGTTAGGCAATTGGCGGATCGCTTTTCCGGGGGTAATAATCCCTTAAAAAAAGATTAGTCACTCAATCCACGACTGTTTGTGGGACACTGCTGTGTGCAATTGGCTGCCACATTTCGCCCACGAGATATACAGCTAATTCACTTTACAGTATATTCTGTGAAGCGTTTGAGACGTCTCGAAGACGTGATATATCAAATGCAAGGATTATTATTATTTTTCCTCCAAAGTTTTCTGTTAGACTGGGTCTAATAAAGGGAGGGAGTCCTGGTAAAGGGGAGAGAGGAGGTTTTTCAACAATAACAACCTGCATTTATATTGTGCCCTTCATGTGGGGTAGCGTCTCACAGCACTTTAGGGGTCCGGGGGTCTCTTACTACTCTGGATGCTGGAGAACGCATTCAGCCATGTGAAATCAGAACAAGCTTGGTATTGGGAGCTAACTTTATTAAATGGACTTATATTAGCTTTCAAGAGGGAACTCGCGAGATGTCTAAAAAGGGAGAAATTTTAAAGGGAATGGGGGGAAAAGGCTGGTAAATGGGAGCTTTTTTCAAATGTCAGAACAACATGATGTGGCCAATTGGGGTCTTATCTTGGCTGAGAATTTCATTACTTCCTGGACCCCCAGGCCTGGGAGTTGGACATGGTGCTGAGTTAGCTGATCTCAATTGAGTTCCTGTTCCTCCTGCAAACTCCTGTAGCTCAGTAGTTAGAATATTTGCCTCGCAAGCGAGAGACCTGAGTTTGATTCCCTAGCAGGGCGAAACGTTGGTTAAGTTCTCTTACTCCAAACGCCTCTGTTTACCTAGCAGTAAGTAGGAGTCTGGTTGTTAGTCGATTCATGGATCGCTTTTTCAGAGATAAAAATTTCTTCCAAAAACATAACACTAATAAATTGGTCACTTCAATCCACGACTGTCTGTGGGACACTGCTGTGCGCAATTGGCTGCCGCGTTTCGCCCACAAAATATACAGACAGTCCACTTTACTGCACTTACCCTCCTCCACAGCACCCTCTCCACTACACTTGATGCCCTTACCCCCCTCACCTCCCAAACTGCCTCCTATTCCCGATCCTCACCCTGGTTCACCAGCCACCTTCGCTTGCTTAAGGGCCAGGTGCGGGCTGCCGGGTGCACTTGGCTCAAATCCGGCCTAACGTTCCACCTCCACTTCTGGCTGGACCTCATCAAGAACTACTGCTTTGCTCTCGCCTCAGCCAAATCATCCTTCTATTCCAGGTTAACCTGGAAGTGAAAGGCAATCCCAGGCTCCTGTTTTCTTCAACTGTGCCTTCAGCTCCTCTCTCAACTCTCTACCCCCTCCTCGCTCCCTCTCCTCACCCTGACCATTTCCCCCCTGCTCGGGTCCCGACCCAACTGTCCAGCGTCTTGGGACGTCCTCCCGACGTGAAAGGTACTCTATAAATGATATGTTGTTGTTGTTATTGTTATCCACCACTAACCGGCTCCTCCGCCCTCCCCGACACGCCTCTCAGATTCTTTCCTATGACTCTCACTGCGAAAAAATGCTGGACTTACTCAAGTCCAAAATCGAGGGAATCCGCTCAGTTGCCACTGCCGTCCCAACATCCAACCCCTCCCTACCCCCACCCACACAATTACCCATCCGACAATTACCAATCCTTCCTTCCACACCTTTGAACCTGTCAACCCCTCCTCTGTCTTCACCACCATATTCTCCATGAAGCCTACTATCTGCTCCCTGGACCCCATCCCCTCTCCTTTAAATCCCAGCTCCACTTCCTTGCCCCACTACTCGCTGACATCACCAACCTCTCCCAGTCATCTGGCACTGTTCCTAACCCCCACAAAACAGCCACTATCACCCCAACCTTGAAGAAACTTTCACTCGACCCATCACAGCTATCTAGCTACCGGCCCATCTCAAATCTCCCTTTCCTATACAAAGTCCTTGAGAGAGCCGTTGCCTCCCAGCTTCACTCTTTCCTCTCCTCCCATTCCCTCCATGAACCCCTCCAATTGGGTTTCCATGCTGCCCACAGCACGGAAATTGCTCTGGTCAAGGTCACAAACAACATCCTGACCATGTGTGACCAAGGTCCCTCTGCCTCCTCGTCCTCCTCGATCTCTCCGCTGCCTTTGACACTGGATCACTCAATCCTCCTCCACCGCATCTCCTCCCACCTCAACCTTCAAGATTCTGTCCTTGACTGGTTCAAGTCCTACCTTTCACACCGCCTCCATTTCGTCATAGCAAATGGCTTCTCTTCCAGCCCCCGCTTTGTCTCGTGCGGCATTGCTCAGGGCTCTGTCCTCGGTCTCCTACTCTTCACCCTCTACATGCTCCCCTTTGGTGACGTCGTCCACAGACATGGGGTAAATTTCCACATGTATGTGGATGACACCCAACTCTATCTCTCTGCCTGCACCCTCAACTCCAGGACTACTGCGTCCTGACCGACATCAAGTCCTGGACGAGGGACAACTTTCTCCAACTCAATGTCAGCAAGACCGAGGTCCTCTTGATTGGCTCGTGCCAGTATTTCCGCACCTCAGGCGCTGGTAGCATCAGCCTCCACGGCCGCACACTCAACCTCATTGAGGCCAGTCAGGAGCCTGGGTATCTTGTTTGACCCTGAACTGTCCTTTCTCCCCCACATCTGCGCCATGAC